ATTATTTTACTAATTTATAAATTAGTCTAATTCTCATAAATTTAGATTTATAAAAGTAAACCTCTTAATTATAATTTACTAATTAACTTTGCATAGAAACTTTGGATTAAGCCTTTATTTCTTCTAAATTATAAGGAAATATTTTGTGTTCTTTCAACCAATTTTAAAAAAACTTATAGTTTAGCTTGATACTGTTAGTACTATTAATAAGGATGATGAAATAAAAATAAAACCTGGTGTATTCAAACTAACAAATAACGGATTTGATTGCCCTGATTTTCTTTAATAAATAACTGGAAAAATAATTTTAGACGCAAGTCCAGTTATTGAGTTAACTTAAACAAGTCCTATTTCGATATGTTAATAAGCCTAAATAAGAATATCTAGTGTTTCTAATTCTGGAAATAGAAAATTAAAATAAATTACTTGGACGCTTGTTTCTTCTAATGTAAATACGGAAAATTAAATAACTTAATTAAATAAATTAATCTAATAATAAAATAACAACTTATTTTTAGAAATACCATACATAAAACTTATAAATTAGCATATAAAAGAATATCTTAATTCCTTATTAATAATATTAATTTAAATTATAAGGAACAAAATATGGAGTAACCGTATTTGATGAGATAACAATATTAATGGTTGATTATTCCGTTTCTCCTATAAATCCTATAAATCCTACTATTTCTATTAACAATGCTTAAATACAATAAATTTAAATTAAGAAATATTTACTTAATTTCATGATCAAGAAGATAAAAATGTTGATGAATCAATAATTACAGGAGTTATTTTATATTAGAATTAATAAGTAAGTATATTATCATCAACTTAAAGCTAATTTAGATTTAAAGTTTGGGAATATTTTTTCGACTTTTAAAATTAAAATTAATTTGAATTAATATTTTCAGTAAGAAATCCAAATTATATAATACCAACATTAATTTCTTATTCTTTAAATGCTAACATACCTCCATAAGATTGTACTTTTGATTAAACTACAGGTTTTGAAGTTAAAAATATGTAAGATAAATAAATTCGTTCAATAAACGAATGTATTGATACTGATTAACCTTTATCTTATTCTTTCTATTTTTATAAAGATTAAGATGATTATAATAATGAATTATTAAATGTATAATTTATTAAAAGACATTTATTATCTGATTTCTCACCAAATAGTAGTATTTAAACTGTTTTACCTTTTGGTGCGTCCTTAATTATGGGAATAATATAAGATTCAAAAGGAGGAATAAGAAATATAACTTAATAAATTACAGTGAGCCAATATAGTTAAGATAGTTCTTCATATTATGAATTTATAAATAATTAGTTTACTTAAATTTAATAAAATAATTTAAATTAAAATAAAATTATTTAATATAATATGATTATTTATGATATTATTAATCATATTAGTGTTTTATAATTGTTAGCAAATTTTTAATTTAATTAATTATGTATTGAAATTTTAAATGAAGTTTTGAGATTGTAAAAATATTTTTAATAATGAACTGACTCTTTAGACTATTTTATATAGACATAAATAACATTAGATTTAATATTTGGTAACTTTCTCAATTAAATAGTATCATAATTAGGATTTAATAAAATCCAATAATTTATTAATAATATTGAATAAATAGTAACAATGTAATTAGGAGTAATTAAAAATGTAGTAATTTCTGATACAAAATAATATTAAAATTCTTTTTAATCAGTATAAATTCTTATATTATAAGCAAAAATAATTTAAAAATTTAATAAGTTGATAGAAAATTATTTAATCATAAATAAACTCATAATTAGATAATAATAAAACGATATCGAACCTTGAATGTGTTTTTTATTCCTAACGAGAATCCTATAAATGTTCTAAATATAATTTCTACTTAAACAATAACATATAACGTTTTAAAAGGAAAATATTTGAAACTATTTTAAAATACATACTATAATAGTATAAATATTAAAAAAGACTAATAAAATCTATAATACCATGTAAATTATATAGAATATCCTTCTTCTGTAATAGCTTATGATGATAATTTCCCTTACTCAAAGAATCATTCATTTATCATAAATGAAAAGACAATAACTTTTGAATCTAATTAATAATAAATACAACTTGATATTCATTTATTCAGCATTTATAATTTATCTTAAACAGTAGATAATGTTGGGAATTACATTTGTATATAAGATATTTAAGGCAAATGGATTTCTAAAGATTGTATACTTTTATATTATATTAATGACTAAAATCAAATATAATAATTTATATGTTAATGCAAAACCCAAGGAAAATAAACTCTTGTTAATGACATAAATTAAATATTTAAAGTGACTCGTATAAATGATTGGTATTTGTATGCTTCTGTGTCGAATTTAGTTGCTACTACCATAATTTATGTGATGTTATTTATATATTTATAATAAATCGATAATATTCAAGACTAAAAAATGTAATAAAGCACAATAAAAAGAAATTAAATCACAGAAATTATTTTTAAAAAAAATGTTAATGAATAAGAACGAAATAAATAATTAGATAATATTTTAAAAAACGATGAATAAATACAAAAATAGTATCTTATAAAAACTTCCAATTAAAAAATAAGTATATTTTAAAACAAATATTATTTATAATAAAAAATATTTTTTTTATAAAAAAATATTCATGTTTTTTATTTTTTTAATTTAATTTTTTAAGATTCTTTATCTGAATTTTAAAATAATATAGAATTCTGCTAGAATTATGTCTTATAATATTAAGATATTTTAATTAAAAATGAAAAAGACACATAATAAATCAATTTATTAGGTTCTTTAATCTCATAATAGCTATAATCTGAAAAATTACAAGGGAAAATAATGCCATCAAATATTTAATCTAATACAATAGAAAATAGAAGTAGGTAAATAGATGTAAATTAATAAAAAGGAGATAATTAATAGACAACAGAAGATAATATAAAAACATTAATTAAATATAAAATTAGTTAATTAAATTCTTAAATAAATGATAAAGGATAAAGTTGATTATAATAAAATAACCAAGAAGATGGTATAAAACCTCAAGACGATTAGGATAAAATTTAATATCCGGAAAATAATCAGATTAAACTTAAAAAAAAAAAATTAATTAAAAGAAAAATGCATTAATCTAGTTTAATTCGATTGTAAAATTAGTTAAACTAATAAATAAATAAAAATGTGAAAAATGAGTCTAAATATGAAGAAAAAACAAAGGATAGTAGCAATTATGTTATAAAAGGTTAAAATAAAATTAGTTAATAATTTTAATCAAATGTATTTACTAAAATAAATCATTATAACAAATAAATAATAAAATTTCTTTTTCTTTTTATGATTAGAGTATTTTGTAAAACTTTCTTTAAAAAAGTAGAATTACTTAAGTATTATGTTTACATGAATTAATTTTAATATTTACTCTTTTTAATTAATTTTTAAGTAGGCCTTTTAGAATAGCTTAATAATATATAAAATACGTTATTCTTATTACTGTTAATTCCATTCTATTTTATGATTTAAAAGCTGTATTTATAATATTAGCTAATTCTTTATTGCTATTAATTATTAACTTAATCATTGTTTTAATAGAAAGTGTCTATAAAATGAATAAAATAATAGTTATATATTTAATTTATCTGATTTTTATTACTATAGTCATAATTTGCTTTGGCATTATTTGTATTAGTATTTAAAATAGATTTTATAAATAATACAATGATTGGTTACCTTTTTATATTTTAGTAATTTTTATTGATATTCTTATTTATTAAATTATTTCTGCGTTTATTAGATATAAGCTATTTATTTAATATGTTACTAGTGTTATTAATTTAAGATGCTATAGTATTAAAATAAAGTTATTTAATATTCTTAATTTAGTAAATTTTATAATGAATATATATAAAAAAAAATATTAAAATTGACAAATTTAAATATTTGTTTACTTAATGTTTTTATTAAGAAATATTATTTGCTTATTTTATATAAATGCTTTTTAAGTAAAATATTTAAACATTACATAATTAATAATATTTTTTTATTTGTCTAAATTATTATATATATATATTTTTAAACTTTTATTTAATTTAAAATAATAATTAAATATAAATAATTTAATGTTTTATTTAGTAAAAAAAATAATTACTATAATTTATTTAATGAAAAAATTGCTATTAATTCGTAATTTTTTAAAATATATATATATATTAAATATAAAAAATAAGAGGAAATTATAATTATACTTAAAAATTATTATCTTATATTTTTTATAAATAAATATTTATAATTAATTATAAATAATTAAAAATTAATTATTTTTTTAAAAAAATATTAATATATAAATTTATATATATTTATATATATAAATATTTAATAAATATATATTTTTTTTATTATTTATTAAATTTATTTATCTAATTTTATAGCTATTAATATTTTTTTATTTTTTAAGCAATATTTTAAATCTACATAAATATTATTTGATAAAACTTTTATTTATATCAATTTTTTTTTTTTTATTTAAATATATAAAATAAATTTTTTTATTAAAATAAATAAATTCTTATTTAAAGAATTTAACAATAATAAATAATAAATTTTTAAATTAATATTTTTTTAAAAATAATTACATCAGAAAATTAATAAATTTATATATTTAAATTATTAATAAATATATTAAGTTTTCATTTTTACTAAATTTATGTCATAATTATTATATTAATTTTTTTTAATATATTAAGTAAGTTTATTATATTTTATATAATTTTCAGTTTTTTTATTTAAAAGTTATTTTGATAAAACGCTTATAAAATTATAATTTTTAATACTTTAAAGATTATTTTTATTTACTAAATTTTTCTATTATATTTTTTATTAATATTTTTTTTAAAGCTTAAAAAATATATAATTTTTATTTTTATAATTATAAATAATAAAATTAAACAAAAAAAAATGGTAAATAAATAATAATTTATAAAAATAATTAATATTTTTTAAATTTATAGTAATTAATGAAAATTAAGAGTAAAATTCATGGATAGAATGTTACCAAACGAGGAAATGTTACAAAGACATTATCAAAAGTTTAATAAGATAAAACTGTTAGACCATTTGTATTAGGAACTTTTATTTTTGTAATTATAGGTTCTGCAGTATTTTAAATTTTAAATGTTTTACTTAATTAATCTTAATGAAATCAATATAATTATAATAAAAAATATTTTTTTTTTTTTTAATATTTTTTTATCTCAAATAACTTTTTTATTTTTTGTATTTAAATTTATATAATTTTTTTTATAAATTTTTTTTCTGTTATATTCTTAATTTACAGATTGATAATAAAATTTCAATTGAAAACGTTATTTTTATTTTTAAAAAGCAAATTATACAAAATTTATAATACACATAGTTTATCTAAAAAATTATATAAATTTAATAAACAATTAATATAAACTCTAAACACAGTTTTTTAAAAATTTTATTCTCAGTAACATAAATTATATACAAAATATTTATTAATAATAACTAGTTGTTTTATATTTTATATAAATTTAATATTTTTTGATTATCTATCTTTAAAAATTTATAAAATTTTATATTTATATCATATTTATACATTTTTTATTTTTCTTATTTTAATATTATTATAAATATATTTTTTATATAATTAAGATATATATTTAAAAAATATATATATACAACTACTTTTTTTTTTTTAAAATATGTTTTTAAAAAAAATAAAAAAATTCTAACAAATAAAAATATACAATTTGTGCCATTATATTTGCCAAACAACAATAATTATTTTAAAATTGTAATAAATAAAATAAAATAAAACAAAACAAAAAAAGCTATTTTTACTTATTTTAAAACTCATTTAGGTTAGGTTATGTTTTATTTCAAAAAATATATATATATATATATAAAATAAATAATTGTGAATATATAAAAAATATAAATAACTCACCGTGTTTTTGGAATTTTTACAAAGTTAAGTATTAAATTTTACTAACTGTATTTAGATTATACTTTATTTTGTTATAGAACTTATAAACTTTTTAGAGAAACTGTCTTTAGATTTAATTTTTAAAAATTAAAAAATAAATTATATCTGTAATTTAATTATAAAATTTGATACAGGTGGATTATTTACATTTTAGTTTTTTATTAATTTTATTAATTATTAAAGGTATATTTATTTTTATATAATTAAATATTAAATATTAAATAAAATATAATACAGTTGATTAATATAAGTTTTAGATTATAATTGTTTCTAATTATAATGGTAAAAACTT